GAATGCAGCTAGTATAAAACAGAGAGGGTCTGGGGCTAACAGAAACAGCAGAAATTAAGAAAGTGAATTTTCAAGAAATCCTTAAAGTATAGAGAGTTGAGCATACTATTGAAGAAGTTGTGAATTTGTCTCAGAAGACTGGAGCCCTTCATCAGAGTCACACTGCCATTGCTAACATAAGAGGAAATGCATATTTAACCAACTTTTTCTTGTGAAAAGGTTGTTTTTAAATACTTCTAATATTGCCCATTTCTGACCATGCAGATCATTTTGCAGCCACAATGTGATAAAAACCAAAATTGCTGAAAATTCAGCTATAGATGAAAAAGACACTTGGAAAAAAAAAAAAGCCGCTTTACCAGTATTAAATTTGTGCTCTCTTCTTTGACTAACACTAGTTTTAGAGTACGTATTTGAAAATTAGTACTGAATTAATCCTGTATGTCCCTCCCATTCTATAAAAACCTCTCTCCTTTGAGTTCATTCTGGAAGCCCCAGCTGCTCTGTAGAGTGCCTTCTCCATTAACGGCTAAGAGTGAGGGTGCTGAAGACTCCGTCTTCATGAGAAAACCCATTTCAAAATTTTCTCAAGCTATTAGATCTTGGAAAATCACATTTGCACAGATGCTGCAGGGATGCCTAACATTTTAACAGTTCTGTTTTCTGAGGACTTAGTCACCACTGTGCACTCCTTTGCACCTCACACCTTTGCAGGCAGCTGGGTCATGCCTTCCCTGACAGGGAAGAGGGCACAGTGATCCCAGATATGCAGACTTTCAAGTGCAAGGTCAGCCTTTTGCTGTGGCTTTACTCCCAGGTGGTGTCAGTGCTGGAAATTAAGGAGAGAACCTTCCTCTCCTGTGTTTTTAGTTATTCCCTGTGTGCTAGTTAATGGTGGTTTTACTGCCTACACTACTAAAGGACACAGAAATGCAAACATTTTGCATACAGGGCATGATAAAGACAGTATAAGACCATTTTGTAAGTAATTAGGATAAAACTCATAATTGAACAGGTACACTTCCCTCCCTCTCCCCTTCTTCCTTCCTTTCCTCCTTCCTTCCTTCCTCCTTCCTTCCTTTCCTCCTTTCTTCCTTTCTTCCTTTCCTCCTTCTTTTTTGAGTTTGATCTTGTCCCTGAAGTACATTCAGGGTGTCACCTCTCTGAAGCATGTTGTGCCCATGGTTTTGCAATGCATGTGGAGTTTCATTCAAGCTTTCTCCTCCTACTGTACACACTATCCCACAGGGATGTGCCTGGAGCTCAGACTGGTGACTTTGGAGTTCAGTGGCACTCTGCACTGCCAGCACCTGCTGTCTCACCAACTGCATACTCCACTAGTGCTGTCCTTCTCCTGCTGAGTCAAGGAGGGACTGGGACATCAGGAGCACGACTTCACACTGGGCTCAGCAGTGGAAAATGCAAGGCAACCTTTCAGCTGACAGTGGCAGGAGGAAGTGCTGTCACAGTGCCTGAAGGAAGGTAGGCAGGCAGGGAAGGGTCTTACAAATAGCCACATTAGGTATCTGGGGGAATGTAAAATTAAAGTGCAAAGGTGCCAGTGGACTCCTGGTATTAGTAGATCTGGAGGGAGTTGTGCAAATGTCGGTTACTTGTCCTGACAGGTGCCTGAGTATCTTTGCAGAATGAAGCTACAGAGCTTCCCTAAAGGTTCACCTGAGAGATGTGAAATGCCTGAGCTCTACTGGGTTATTCTCACCTAAAAACTTTTTCAGATATCAAAGGTTCAGTTGTAATTTTTCATTTGTACATGCAAATATACCACACATGTGATGCAAGATTATAGTGCTTTCTACGCCAAATTAAAAAGGTTTTTGCATTTTATTTTATAGTAGAAAATAAGGAGAATATGCAGCATGACTAAGTTACCATTTTGAGACAAATATTAGGTTTTTTAATAATGCTGTAACAAGAAACTTTTGCTTTAATATAGCATCCTTTGGGGATGAAGAAACACACCGTTTTGTTATCACTTGATTCCACAGTCACATGAACAGGTTTTTGTCTGAGATGGGGATTTAGCACACAAAAAGTGCTAATGTATTTGACTAACAACATATTAATCTTTATGGTTGATAGGAGACTCCTTTAGTCTTTGTAATGAGGTTACATGTCATATGGCGATGTAATTTCAAAAGGACTGAAAGTCCACAGATATAATATATACGTTTGCCTTTTTAAGTTTGTCACTGTTTGGTCATTCCACTTACATAAATGTATGTCAGCAAAGATAATTGATCACATTTAAATACACAAGCCAAGACACTGTGATTTTGAATTACTGTATCTCTGCAGTTATCTTAAATATCCTGAAATAAATTTACATTTAATCTCATGTCAATGATATCAACATACTTGTTTGTATCCCATGTAGAAAAAAACTACAATGTAACTAATATGTTCAAGTTTTATATTTATACTAGTCATGTGTTCTCCAATAAAGGGAAAAAACATATAATTAATTAGACATTTTCTCTGCAAAACTATAAAAGCCATTGCAGAGAATTCTTGCTAAAAAGTAAACTTTCATGATATTTCTCTTTTCTGGAATATCACTTCTTAGAAGACTAGAGGACAGGTTACTGCTTCGCTGTCAGATATAGGCTCCTAAACTTGAGGCATAAGATGAAAGAGTTGAGTCTAAGAAACAGCAAAATATTCTATCCATTTGAAAACCTTTTTGCAAAATAACAGCAATCACAGAGCAGTCATTGGCAAAAAGGAGATGGGAGCCTTGTGCGTGCTGCCTCTTTGGTTTGGGGGTCTGCACATTGCACTGACAGAGTGGCTGAGCTGCTGTGGCTGGACCACCAGGTCTGATCTTTGTACTGGTGAAATGAAATTAGTCCACACCACAGTGACAAATGTTATGCTAACAAAACCATAGTTCTGTCAATATGAACTGCATCTACATTAGAGGCCTCTGCTGGCACATCTCTGCTGGGTAAAAATTACACCTCTAACCCAATTAACCTTTCAGAGAGAAGTCTTGCAGCATAGCGACTGCTGGGATAACTCACTGCTCTGTGTCTTTCATGCACTGAAAGAAATAACCTCCAGGTTAACACTCCAGGGATTGTCATTTCTGAAAGATGTCTGTCACCTGGGATTTTCACTCATGTATCTATCACTTTGTAATTCTAATTTTAAAATACTCAGCCTGTCTTTTGTCCCACAGCTTTAGGAAAAGGCAACCTCAGATGTCCCATTATGTTTTCTTGTGCTATGCAAACTATGGTGAAAATCCATCTTGTTTTATTTTGGTAGGAATATTTCAAGTTGTGGTGGTATTTAGAAAACTGGATTTATGAACAATGTGGCTGTCAATTCCTGCCTTTTGGTCAGCCCTTTTAAGGAGTCTTACTTCTTAACACAAAGCTCTCACTAGGCTGCTAGCTGCTGTATTTTTTATGTCTCTTGCCTTCTTAAATAGAAATGGCTAGATGAAAGGCCAGGAATTATTTGGAAGGGAGAAATACCACACAGCTCAGTAGGAGAGGGTTTTTCTTTTGTGTTTGTTTGTTTGTTTTGTTTTGTTTTGTTTTTCTCCTGTGTCCAAACAGGCCTCCACTAGATAATTCCCTCATCTCATGAGGTAGTTTCAGTTGCAGCTACGTTGACCAATGCTGATGAATGTTTGTGTGAAATAAAGAACTGTGAGGCCTGACTTGCTGATACACTGGAAGAGGAAGGTTTTTTGAAAACCCACAGGTATTATGGGAGCCACTAACTGCAAGCCATCTTCCTAAGCCTACCACTTGCGAAGTGTTCTTCCTCTAGAGAGAAGAAATGCATGTTTTTACTCCATAAGGGAGGTATCCAGAAGCTTTTGGACTTGGATGTTACTCACTGGTATTTATCTCCCTTCCACTCTTGCCTCCCTTTCTCCTGCAATAGCATGTGACTCCTTTTCTTCATACCTGTTTAAGGCAATCATCTGAAGACTTTTCTCTCCACATTTCCCCTTTCTTGGGAGCTGGAGCACATCGAGTGTTAGACTGCATCAACAAAGAAGAGATGGGGTTCCCCTATGCTCTGCAGCCAGACATTTTTCAGAGTTTGGAATAACTTAGAAGCCTCATCCCCTATCAGCAGAAACTTGTGGAATACATTTTTTATGGGTGAAAACCATGCTTCAGGTTGTAGAACCTGAATCAGCTGCAGGACCTGATACTGTTGGAGCAGACGGAAGGCTTGCGGTGGGAAATGGCTCAGAGTAGAACAGTATATGAGGGGTGAGGGTGAGGACAGAGTAGGGCAGAGTGACGTGGTGGCAATAGCTGCTAAGCTCTGTCCACCCGCTCAGGCCAAAGTTTGCATATGCCTGTGAGCAGCAGCTCTCACTGATGGGCTTCAAACAGATCCAGTCTTCAGGTTTGCTGGGGTGTCCTGCAGGCCAAGGTAACTTCTCAGGACTGGCAGGCTTGACAAACAATTCCATTTATGTGAAAGGGACACAGGCTGGATGATCTGTTTCAGAACTGTTCGTTGTATTTTTGGAGTTTTTTCATTGCAATTTAAAAATTGTGGTTGCCAGGCCGGGGAGGGCTGGCGTGGTTAGGAAGTTTTCATCCCTTCCTCATGCGTTTTATATACTTTCTTCCCTTTTGTCTGCCCTCACTGCTCGCATTGCCAGAATCTGGAGGCCGGGGCTGCCTCTTAACCGTGTCTGCGTAAAGCCCTCGTTGCAACTGAGCCCTGCTGAGGCCTTTGGATCCTGCTGTTACGCCTATAATAATTCATAACGCCCAGGGCTACGCTCAGCAAATACTTCACTCCCTCCCTCCCCACGTCCCCGCGGATGCCCGTATCTCGGCACATCCCCGGGAAACTTTTGGTTACAAAGGCACACCCAGCCGGCCCTCGGCGGCGGGGGCAGCGGCGCCCGGAGAGCACGGCCCCTTTAAATTCCAGCTGTGCAGCGGGGGGCAGCACCGCTGGCGGCGCGGCGCGGCGCGGGCTGGGGCCGGGGCCGGCTGCCGGTGCGCGGCGCGGAGAGCAGCCGGCGGCCGGCGGCGGGGAGCGCAGCCCTGCGCCCGGGGAGGCAGCGGCTCCGGCGCCGCGGTCCCTCGCGGAGGCGGAGAGGATGAGGATGGCTTCTGGCTTTTTTTTTTGCGTCCTCGCGACGATTTCCATAGTAACCTGATCGAGCGGTGCAATTTCGGAAACTGGGGTGGCTTTATTATTATTATCTTTTTTTCCCCCCTATTTTTTCCCCGCTTCTCCCCCCAGCTCCCCGAGGAGTGCCAGCCGGCAGGTAAGGTGCCCGACCCCGCGGGGGTGTTTCCGCGCCGCCGAACTTCCCAGGGCGACGGCGGCCAGCCACGGGCTCCTGCCCGCGGGGCTCCGCCGTGCGCTGCCGGGGGTGGCACATCCCGGGGCCGGGGCCGGGGCTGGGGCTGCGGCCGGGGCTGCAGCACGGCCGGCGGCCGGGGAGGGGGGCGGTACGTCGGGGCGGGGTGCCGCGGTGCCCGGGAGCCCGGCAGGGGGTTCCCCCCGGGGAGACCGCCGAGCTCTTCTTACCCTCTTTGTTTGCTTGTTCCCGGAGAGGGTTTTATTCTTTCCTTTGTTTCTCCCTCCTTTTCTTCTCCTCCCCCCACCCCTCCATGCCCCCCCAATCGCTCCCCTGCCTGGTTTGTTTTCTTGATCATCTTTCCTTCCTCCTCCCTTTTGTGAGGGTGAGAAATCGCACACACGCTTTACCTTAAAATCTGCGGCGAGCGAGGGCGCAAGCCACCCGGCTGCCCGTTCCCAGCGCGGCCGGTATCCGCCGCATCTCCGCTCTTTCCCTACTCCCGGCCGTGCCCCCCGCCCAGAGGGCCCCCCAGCCCTCTGCAGCCCCCGCTGAGGCGGGCAGGAGACAGCCCTTGCCATCGCGTCGGAGACAAGAGGGGCAGAGCAGCCCAAAGCACCCCCAAGCTGGGTGGCACGGTCTGGGGTCCCCGGGGCGGGGGGTGAGGTGGGGGAAGCACATCGTGGAAACCTGTGAGCAGGTTAGTCTAGAAGCTTCTCTCTCCATGACCTGCTCCTTGCCCACCAGCCTGGGCCCATCCAGAGAAGTTGAAGATAAGGGATCTTCTTGCTGCTGCCTTGGCATTGGGTTGGCAATGGTGCTGATGTCCCTGTGGGTCCTGAGCTGCCCCCAGCCCTGCTGCGCAGCCTTCTCATGCTGCCATATATCATCTCCCCTTCCTGGGTGGGCAGCACGGGGAAGGCCCCTGCAGGTTTGGGTTAGGTGGTGAGGACCTATTCCAACTGCTGTCATACTCAGTTGGTAGCGCCATGGCCATTGCCAGGTGGTAGTCATTCATCAAGCAGATCTCCACTGAAACTTACTGTTGCTTGCTGTCTCCCTAGACCTCTCAGTTTCATCCTGAGATGGTGTTTTTGACCGTGACTCTGTTTTTTTCTGGGAGGGATGTTTATAATTTTTTGTATCAGTTTGCACTGAGTACAATGAATAGATTAGTCTGGTCAAAGCTTTTTGTTTCTGTCATAAGTGATCAATAATCATCTTGTGGTAAGATGATCTTATTACAGAAAAAGCCAAAGTGCACGCTGAGAACAGCTGAAATAAAAGGTCAGTAACTCTTGGGTTGTCAACAGTAAACCTGCTTTGCATATTTGAAGATGACGTATTCCTTTCAAAGTGAAGGCAACTTCAAGCTTTTGATGAGCTTTATTTTCAGTGTAAATAATAAGCATGCAGACAACATATGAAAGCAGCGCTGCTTCAGAGAAGGCTGGTCATCCTTAAACATTCCTGCACCTCTTTTAATCTTTTTCTTTAGTCAGGGTTGACAGGGATTGCAGTCCTCTTAGGTGAGAAGAGTTTTTGTAGCTCCCAATACAAAGGTTGGTTTATTCCTAGTGCCCAGCAACTACTACAGGCTTCCCAGACACAAAAGAAAGGCGTAGTCTGTGGCCTGAAGATCGTGCATGCTAAAAAGGCAGTCAGCTGGAGAGTATCACAGATCAACAACCAGCTCTGCCGCCGCCTGTAACTGGCTCTGGGAAATGTAACGGTTCGGTGAGACAAGTAATTTGTGCCGAGGTGCTGCCGGCTCAGAGAGGACTGCTGTAACCTTCGGGTCAAGCCTTCGGTGGTGGTGGTATGAGGAGCCGGGGCTGCGAAAGAGGGAGCCTAGACAGGAGGAAGCTCCCAGGGCAGGTGAGGCAACCTTTCCTGGAGAAGGCGAAGCAGGGGAATGAAACATGAAAAGGGAGCAGGGCAGATCATCAGCAGGGGAAGAGGTTATGCAGGGACTCTGAGCCTAACATAAAAAGCTTGAAGTAATGAGTTTAATCTACGAAATCTAGTTCTTAAATTGTATGTGCTTGCCAATTAGCTAACCATTCTGCAAATCAGAATGGAATTCAGATAGTATCTGATAAATGTATTGACTCTGAAGTGCTGCAAGGAGGAAAAAAAAAAATCTCTGCTCTTTCCCCTACTGTGGGCTTTAAATATGAGCAAAAATCAGATCTGAGAACTGAGGAAGCCTTTTAATATACTTACTTTCCTGAGTTCACATTCTGTCTAGCCTAGACTCCCACAGTTAAAATCAAAAACCCCTATGGTAATATGACTTCAGGGGGCCAAATTCAGAGCAGTTGTAGGGCATTTTCACCAGTGAACATTGCAGTGCATTGTGAGGAGGGGTCATCATCAGATACAGTATGGATTAAAGTGCAGGATATGTGAGGCTGTTACCTTGCAGGGAGAAGAACACCTGCAAGGTGTTCTTGGCTCCTTTAATAAACACTTTAACATTACATGGATATAAAAAAGAGTTGCAGCATCACCTTTATTCTCCTGTATTAAAGTGTGTGTTCATGTATGTATGTATTAGTTTGTGTATGTCATAACAGGTTTCAAAATGGCTGAATGATATTGATTCAACTAAAAATACTATGAGCGTATTGATTCAACTAAAAATACTATGAGCGAATAGCTGAAATTAATTTGAATTTCAGTTTTAGAGAATTATAAAAATAATGTCAGTTTGACATCACTTGGGCAGCTAGCTAAAATAATTCGGAGGAACTGACAGAATCCTTCATAAAGCTATTGTTTCACCTAGATTTGACTGGTGTGGACTTATGAAAAGTAGGCAAGAGTCAGTGCCAGAAATTACCACCTAGATAAGCACCCTGGTCAAGAATATTTACATCTGTGTTTTGGAGTCTGGGAATGTTTGCTTTAGATGGCTGGCAGTACTGTGCTTTATACTGCAGAGGATCAAAAATTCATTATGTTTGATTGATAACACAAGGATGTAATAATACAGATTTTCTCATTTTCCTAGAGAAGTATTGCCTAATTTGTGATAAATTTTGCAGCTTTGCTCCACATTGAGATGGATCAGAGGTGTATGACTGGGAGATGAGTAGCTGGTTTTTTTTAATTGGGGATCTGACTTGCACTGATGCATATGCATTTTTTTGTACTAGCCTCCTGTGGTAATGCCTGCACATGTCGATGAAACAATCTGCCTGAGAGCTGTTAGAATTTGCATGTAAGAAACTGGTTTGTTTATATGTAGATCAGTTATTACTGCAAAGATAAGTGTATGCATAGAAAGTTGTTACCACAGATGGATGCTGGCTTCTGAGAACTGGGTCTCTTTAAGATAAACTTCATATATAATGTCAAAGAAATAAACAAGTTGGGGGCAAAAATACTTCTGTGTTTTTATTATATTCTGCATCCATCTTATGCTACTTAGTATAATATACATTGCAAGGACACAAAACTATGCTTGCCATGAAAATACTTGAGATTTTGTCGATGTCAAATCCGAGCCTTAAACGCGTCCTCAGTGTTTCCCAACAATTACTGTAAGAAATCCTATGATAAAATTTCCTTGCAGAAACATTTTGTAAAAGATGTAATATATAATTGTAATAGCTATATGTTTTGCTTGTAATCTACTTCAATGTTTCTCTTCTCCTCTTGAAAATGACTACATACAAATAGCATCTCTTTACATAGTTGTTTTTTTCCACTTCTCCACCTATATCTGGAATTGTATCTATTTAATTGAGTGACAAATGGGATGTCGTTCTTCTGTTAAGCCAATGTAGCATGAGCTGGCCTCTGTTCTCAACTGGACATTAGCAGACTAGGATTTGGTTTTGAGTCCCATTTCTTAGATCCCCCAAGGCTCACTAGTCCTGGTGCCTTGTGCTTTCTGTCCTCTGAATATGGACTACCTTGAGGCATCACAGCAACCCTGTGCAGGGCAGAAGCATTTAAAAAGTCTGTCCTTCTTCTGACAGAGCTTCTTGGTCCTCACTAGCTACTTGGAGCACTGGTTCATGTGTTTGTCTGCATGTAAATCAGGTGTCCTTCGAGGACACTGCTGAATGGTGCAAGCACTAATGTCCCTTCTGTGTAACTATATCAGGAAAATGTTTTGAAAAGTGGCTTTTTCAAGAGGTTTTTGTGAAATGGAGCCAGCGGATCCTGAGACTCGCTGAGCTTTGGTTGTTAATTTTTGTGGCTGGAGATATTCAGGTCTCTTGGAACAGGCCAGTAAATGTCACTTACTGCAGCGACTGGCTCACAGCGTTTGTGTTTAAGTGGAGTCTAGAGAACTCGAGTTAGGCTTATGGCTCCATAGAGCAAATGTATTCCACATCCAGACACTTATGTCAGAAGGTGTATTTCAAGTGAGACAGCAATGTCCTTCTAGACTATTTCCAAGAGACAGAAGATAAATGTAAGTAAGAAAAAAATAAGGTCATGCCATTATGTCTACTGATGACTTTCAATCTCTGACTTTCCACATCTGAACTTCATTTAAACAATAATAATGTTATTCTGTTTTATCACAGTATAATCGTCACTGTTTGGTTCACTTGTACTACAGCAGTGTGTGCTAAGCTTGAATTTGAAACAGAGGTAGTCCCAGTTGGTCTTTGGAGGGTAGCCCACTGATGATACCTTTTGTGTGGAAATACTGAAAACAATTTAGAAGTAACTGAAAGCTGGTGAAATAATAGTGTTAGTAAAGAAAACGAAGAATTATACTGAATCAGAAAAACATTTGCATAAAGTTAAAAAAAGCCTAAGCAGTACCAAAGATCATAAGAAAGCAGGCTTGACTGAGACCTCACAGAAATAGTAGCAGTTGTTGTTTCCCCAGATTTTAATGAATCTTCTGTCAGTGACAAGCAGAAAACATAAGATTTTTTGGTTATTCGGAATCATGCTCACAGAGAAATAAAATGTAATCCTGGAGTCCTTTTAAG